CCCCCCCCCCCCCGTTGTAAATGCAAAAATTATAAAATTTCTAAACATTTGGTAGGATTATATCATACTAGTTTTGGAACCCAGCTTTGCTTAAGCTTTAGCTTAGGTATTCCAATAAAAAAGTCAGTTAACGTAGTTCAGTATTTTTAAAAGTTCTAACCAAGTTCCCCTATTAAACTGTGAGGCAAATCGGTCAAAGGATTCATGAGTTATTATTGGACATACACAATACAGACGGACAAACAGAGATTGCTACGTTATATATTTCTGACCTGGTAAACTATCCAAAGATGAGAAAACTTTTTCTGATTCATATTTTTCTCTTTTTTCTTTTTCATCTTTTAAACTAGTTTTCGCAGAATCCTCTTTACTTTTAACTCGAGTTTCATCTAAAAAAAAAAATGATTTCCGATTGGAATTTGATGAATTTTGATCTGTTTCACGATAAGTAAAGATTTCAATTAGTTTATGAATATTCAGTGATAATCTATAAAGGAGTTTAGTCTTTGCCACAAACTTGAATATTCCATTCCCTTTATCTTTGCAACCTTTGATATTTCAAGCTTAGATTACTTGATATAACAGAGTTAATAGTATGAAATATCTAAGGTCTATGACTTTGGGTTGCAAAGATAGAGGCATTAAAATATCAGAGTTTGGATGGAAAACTTCAATTCCTTTAGAAGAAAAAATCAGAACTTACTTTTAGTTTTGACAATATTATCATCAGCATATTTCTGATCTTCAAGATTCATTTCTTCAGCACTTTCAGGTTCAGCATCATCCTCATCGATCACTTGAATATCTTCAACTATAATTTCTTGATCTTCAAGCTTACTTGATTCTTCAGGATTAGTTGCTTCTGTTTGACACAAAGTTTCACTACTGCTAACTTTCATCTCCTCACTAGCCCCTTCTGAAAGACAGAATTTGTTTTGCAATAGAGTTACCTACAAAGAATGAGATTTCAGAGACGACTATAAGGAATTTGTTTAGTCTCTTTACTTATATTTAGGGTTTCTTGCAGGCCAAAACTGGCTTATTTCTATGCTTAATCATTTTAAAAGCTATCAATTTGCTAACTCTGACCTAGCTAAACCAATATCATTATTGATTTAAAAGTTTAAAATTTTAAGTAATTTTTAAGATTAACCACAAAAAGATACGGTACGAATTAAGCTGATTTTTTGTCATTAAAAATCATGAAAGAACTTGAAGCTTTTAATTTTATTGGTTTGATATCGAAAGAATTAGGTTGGAAAAGACTAAAAAACATTTAAAATTGTAGATTTGTTGATAATGTTACACCAAAATTTGAGCATTTCCCCAAAATGCTAAAACTGAATATAATATATTTTACTAAATGGAATTTTAAAACCATTTTTCAGAACAATTAAAAAATGTTTAATGATCTTAAAATATAAAGCGTAAAAAAAAACTTTCAAACTATTCCTTGGGTTCAAATTGCAGTGATTAATAATGAATGGAGAGTTCAAATAACAGTGAATTTAAATAGAACTATTATGAAGAAAATAGGACTAACCTAGAACTAGGCTGCCGCTGGTAATCTGTACTTGGTCGCCTGTTCCTCGAACCAAATTTAATGAACAAAATAGGTCACTGAACTACCTACTACTGGTTCAAATCATGCATCTTAAACTTTAAATCAGTGAATCAGTATTTGAACCGGTGTTAAGTAGTTCAGCGACCTAGCTCAATTTTTTTAAAATTTGGTTCCTGATTCAATATCCCAGTCCTGAACCAGAATAGTTGGTAGTCTAGGTTCCTAACAAGAAATAACTTTAAATAAAATGGTGATTAAAAACATTTAAAGGGTTTATTAACTTTTTGAAAATAGTCTCCACTATTAAAATTCAGAACCAAGCTAATCTTTCAAAAAAAGTCGAAATTTAAAAGAAAGTTTCTGCAAGAATAACTGGATTTAATGTAAAGTTCGTTGAATTAAGAAAAAATATAAAACTATAATGGATACTCATCTAATTCAAGATTTAACACGTTATTGCATAGATATTTACTAATTAGATGTACGGAAAGAAACTATAAAAACAATTTCTGTCAAAAACCCCATTGATATTTAGTTGATTATCTTTAGAGCAGAAAAATGGATTTGTACGTGTATTTACAAAAAAGATGAACAATCTTTTGTCGCAGAAAGCTAGTTGCTCCGCATAAGTAATATTTGTTGTTTCCTGGTTTCTGATGAGATAGATATCACTCCTCTCAGATACATCTTCTTCTACATCATCATCCTCGTTAGTATTGGAAACATCTTCTAAGCTAAAAATGTGTTTATTTATTTCATATCTCTTCAAATTTTCAGCTTAATTGTACAATCTTTATATATATTTCGCCTGTCTTGATGTTTCTTGAGTTGTTTCTAAATAAACAGCATAATGGCCGAACCAATTAAGCCCATGTTTCTTCACATAAACCAAACAAAATTTAGATTTTTTTCAAAAATTTAAAAGAAATCTAAAAAATTCAATAACAAAAAAATCCACAAAACTTTACACTACTTTTTAAAAGAAATAGGAAAAAATGGTTGCCATTTAGGAAACCCTTGGACATGAATTTGATTGCCAGGACGAGCAAGCTTAGTTAATTTTATTTCAAAAATATTTACTCAGACCTGTTATACGGAATCATCAATTGCAAAGTCTCAAAGTTAAGAATAGGAAATGACTCCAAATCGACACTTCTGAAATTAGAATCAAGGTCTTAATATTATGAATTTTGGACAATTTGTCTTAATTTTCTTTATTGTCTTGATTTTGTTTGGGTCGTTCGTTTTTTGTTTAGACCCATTTGTACAGCATTAACAGTAATCACAAATTCAATTTTAGTGTAGAACCCGCATAGAACAAGCGACGCTGTTTTAGAGTCTGAAAACGACCCGCACGACCCAAAAAACGGGCGCCGGCCCGACTCTATTTTAGTAATAATAAGAGAGTCGTTTTTAGACCGAAAAGACCCTGAATCCGTCTCTCCTCAAAACGGATGGGTGTCGGGTTTCTGACACGGCAGGGGGCCATTATCTCCCTCAAGATTTATTACTTTGGCGCCATATGTCTACATCTGCAAGCTGTCGAGACAAGCTGTTTTCCACCCAAAGGGTCTGAGGAGGTCGGCCCGGCGTCTAAGACTAGGTTTCAGACTCTAAGATTCTACCCGGGAAAAACATTTTTAATTTTCACAAATTTAAAATTGGATTTATCATGATAAAGCTATGGTTTAAACAAACACAGTTACAGTATTTGGAACGAAAACTTCTGAAGTGCTTGCGACATAAAATTAAGAAGAAACCCAATTTTTGTAAATATTAACTAAAGCTTGAAATAAAGATGAAACAAAACCCCCAAAACTTAGTGAATTATTTGGTTAGAAATAAAGATCAAACAAAAAATTGCAACCTTTGTGATTCTGCATCAGACTGGAGGACGTGGATACTGTCCTCGTCATATTCCTGTTGATCTGTAGACTCCTGATAAACTAGGGTTCAGGGAGCCATTCAAAATCATAATGAGATTCGTCATTAATGATAAATTGAATTAATTTTGTTTAACTCATGACTGAGCTAGCCAAGAACCAAATTTAATGAAAAGTGAGAAGCAATTAAACCGCTAAGACATAGTTTAATCAATACATTGCAACTTAAACCGTACACAAGAGAAACAGTTCTACGCTGTCTATGCAGTTCAACACTTCTCGCTATTCATTCAATCTGGCCTCACTAAAGTGAAACTGGCACCCAACAAATCTAGACATTTTCTGAATGCAACTTTTAAGAGTATCCAAATATAAAATACCATTAAAAAAAATTCAGATTCTTGTATATCCTCTCAAATTCAATACCTCTGTTCAAAAATGACCCAAAAATATGACATCNTGATCTGTTTGTGGCGGAGAAGGTATGTATGTATCTATAAGATCCAGAGTGGTTGAGACTAGAACAAGCAAGATAAAGAAAAGCAGGCAGCACAGACGAGATACACCATCTGCATCCGTCCAAACATTTGGACCTTCAGATATCTTGCTAAACACACAATATAAATTTAGTATTTACAATAATTACTGAGTTGTGAACTTGTTTAATGGGTTAAATGATTAATCTCAGTATTTAAGTGTAAAATTTTAGTAAATTATTTCACGAAAACGAATCCGAAGGATTGACCAAAGAAATATTGCAAAATCTACTTAAAAGGAGGATGAGTTAAACTCGATTAAGAAAGAAAATATTAAGAAAATTAATATTGTAAAATAAAAATAATATAATATTTAAATTAATATTAAAATTAATATTAATATTAAGAAAATATGACAAGAAAATGAAAGTCTAATATCTTTATAATAAAGCTTTTTGCTTACATGTATATATATTTGCCGGGCACTTCAGCTTGATACCAAACGCGGGTAAACGGCTGGAGAAACTATAAATAATTATACAACCTGGGCAACACCGGGCGATCCTTTCAAGCTTTAAACAATTCTTTTAAGATAGTTTCTTTAAAAAATTTACCTGATTTTCCCAATGTTTACGCTGATGTTTGTAATGTTTATTTTATAAAGATATGCCTCAACTTGATAAACAAATTCTATTAGAACATTCCTAAATACAAAACATTTTAATAAAGACAATATTACATTCTTTATCAGAAACAAAAATACTTCTGAACGAGATACCTCACATAAACTTGATAAAAACAACTAAAATTTCAAATTTAACGAACGAAAGGTAAATTCTAGAAGCAAATACGTGAAAAAAACATCTGGTTGGCATTTTTCAGTCTTCTCGTTGGTATGTAGCAAAAATCTACTCCGCGACAATTTACTCGAGACGTATCTATCCAGGTCTGACAGTTAACACAATCAAACAGGACTGGCTCTTAATGCCACACAGAAACACAAGTATCCAATAATATAGGACTCAAGCTTACATTTTTACTCAACCAGGCCCGGCTCTAAATGTCTCACAAGGACACAAGCATCCATTAGATATAGGACAAACTCTCAGGCTTGTACACAAGCCGTATTGGTCTATATTAATTATCTAGGTACAACCTCCGCTCGTATAATTCAACAAGGACGCAAGCTCTCTTTCAAGCCAAATTCGATTCAATGCTCTAAACACAACCTCATGAGCTATCAATGTCAATCAGACACTATAGCCCAAATCAATGTTAAAACTTTATTGGTCCCTTTTCATGACCATGTACCTTTCCAAATTTTTTTGATTTTTGAAAATTCACTTAAAACTGGAAAATCTACAAAATGATTTAGTATATTGTTTTATTATCATCAATAAGATATCTCTTCTACAATTTTCTTAAAACATTACTAGGAAAAGGTCTAGCATCATACAGAAATATCTGCCAAGGACGAGACTTCAATGAGGGATGACCTTGAACTCTTTTAATAACGGTCTGAAGATTTCAGGTCTTGCCTGAAATACAGTCTTTTAATGACCTTTTAAATGATTGAGTAAACACGTTTACATCTTAAGGGAACCCTGAATTGATTTCGTCCGGTGTCTCTGATTGTTCAGCCTTTATGGTAACCCTTGAAGAGTGTACACATATCTAGTTGCATACCTGAGATCTTTAAAACATGTTGATGGTGTACAAATTCCTTGCTTTATCTCCAGATTTACAGAGCTCGCGTTGGTCCTGTACAAATTCATTTAAAATTGGAAGGAAGAAAAAACATATTAAAGGGACTGTTTACGTAGTTCTAAGTGACCCTCTGTTTCTTACATATTTGAATCAAAATTTTGTCAGATCAAGATAAAAAACACGTTCTACTAAAATTTTTCTGAATTATAAAACAGGAAATATCTTTTTACCTTAAAGTACATTTTTAAACATTTTTTTATTGAATTCCTTTAGGCTTAATGCTTTAGTAATAAGAGCATTATCATGTGTTTTTGATTGAAAAGAAAAAAAAAAAATATTAAACCTTAAACAGTTCCTTAAAAATTTGAAATAAATATTAATGATTTAAGGGTCAGTTATACAAGTCATAATATACCTGACTTGAATACCAAGCTGTGCCAAACTATATGTTGTTCCGTTGGGAAGCTGATGGATTGATTCACATTCTGAGAACCGACCCAGCCAAAAGAAATTTCCATCACTAAAAAAATACACAGAATAAAAACCGACCAATGAAATTTTTCCCCCAAATCATAACTAAATTAAAATTGCTTCACATTTTATAAAAAAAAAGTTATTCATTTAAAACATCTCACATTAAAAAGGATATGGATCCTAACTTTCTGAGCTTTGGCCAGAAGTATATAGTGATGGAAATAACTTGGTTCAAATTCCAAGACTTGCAAGGTAAATGGTCTTTTCAAAGACACCACAAAATATGGTTCAAACATTTGAAAACAATAATATAACTTTTATTTATATACTTTGCTTGTCTGCCTGGGTTGTTGTCTGTTTGTTTGTGTCCACTAAACGTCAAAATGGGCCAACATTTTTTGTGGGACCTCACATGACCCCAGGGAAGATATGGATGATCAAAACTAAAAAATTAGCCTCCAACATAATTCGATTTTTATTAAATATTCAAAATTCACAACATTTTTTAATAGAATCCGTGAACTTCTTTTTATTAATGTTTTACAATATATACAAAGAGAAAATGTTCACAACTGCAATAGAAGATGGGCACCAACCTAGTTTATTAAAATATGCAAACAAAATTTCCAGCAGTGGTCAACGAGTATATCATTACAATGAAGACGACTTTTAATTAGTAATGCTTTGATCCCCAACAATTTCAGTTTTAAAATTACAAGTTTACACGTTTACACAAATTATCTCTGTTAGCATGTTTATGTGCCTCTGCTGTTTGAAAGATCGGTAAAATTCAAAGTTGAAATAATAAATTGTCTTCATTTCATTGACGACTAAAAGCAAAAATATAAAGAAAAACTAACCAAAGTGCAAGAAAGCAAATTAAATAATTTTTAAATTTGTTAAACCTTATTCAAATCCAAATATTTAAAAGTATTAACAAACCGACACCAATTAATTGCCTATCACACTCCAGCAATAAAAACAAAAGCCCCCCCCCCCCCCCNCACTTAAAAATTCCAACGGAACTAGCTTGTTGGAAACCCAGCTTTGTCTGGACATAAAATTTCCTTATAAAATCAACCTACTCAACTTAGAATCTTTACATAAGGCAAAGAACATTCACCGTTTTTCTACCGAGTATCCCAATCAAAATTTGAGGCAAATCGGCCAAGGAGCTTGGACATAAAAACAGACACACAGACACAAGATATTATACTACTTTCTGTAAACACTGAACTTTTTAATGAAAAATATAGCTGGTGGGTTATGAATTATAATACAGGGTGTCCCACGAAACATGACAGTTGGTGAATGGTTTTGAATGTCTTCTTCCACATACTGAATTAGATATTACATTTTTTTTTGCAGTTTATTTCTTTAAAAATTGATTAACTGATTTCTTTAAAAATTGTTTAACTTATATATATCAATTTTACTATAATATAACTGTCATATAAAAAATGTTGTTAGTCTCTTTAGTATCAAATAACTTAACAAACTATGGAAGAAGACAATTTAAACTATTCACCAACTGTGATGTTTGGTGGGACACCCTGTATAAACCTACAAAGTACACTTATAAACAATGCGTTGAGCTGTTCACATCGCAATTCAGGGGTGTATATTTTTAAAAACTAGGTCCCGGGGGAGGGGTGAAAATGATTTTTAAGATCTGGGTGAAAAGAATGAAAATTAAACAAGATCTATTTTGCGCAGTTGAGAGAATAAACCCGTAAAAAATATAAATGCCAATGCAACTTTTTAAACTTAATATTTTTATGTTTAAGCCCTAACCTAAAAGCTTTGTCTATCTTGAAATAGTAATTTTGTACTTTTTGCTCTTCACCATTTCCTTATTATTTTATGATAAACTAAATAGCACATTAGCTATTCATTGGCGTCTTACTTTTCAAAGATATCTATAATATTTATGAGCGGAGAAAAAGCCGATTTCAAGAATTCCAGCGCAAAGTTCAGTTGTATTAACGCTATTTGATGCTTTTTGCTATAGTAATGGATTTTTAAATTTTTTTTTTGATTTTTTTTTTTTTTGAATATTTTCGCTAGCGCTAGATTTTCGAACATTCCTGGAAAATATGAAAATTTCGTCTTCATTATCAAAAATCCTCGAAACAGGAATAAATGTTTTCAAAAGTAACTCTCAGATCATGAAAAATACAAAATATTATGAAATATGAACTATTTACGAATGCGTCGAAAAATAATCGATGACTATTGTTTGTAATATCTGAATGATTTGTTTGGAATTAAATTGATTCGTTTACGAACCGAGTTGAATATTGCATCTTTCTGAATTTGAATGGACACTACGTTTTTCGGTGTGAGTCGTTTTTAACAATTTTCTCCTTATAGACACAACAGATAGAAGTAAGATTATTAGCGATCAAAAGCGCTTTTTTATCGCCTTAAGCCTATACCCCCTTTCATTTTTCGCGAAAACTCCCTTTAATAAAGTAAAGATTAGTTGTGAGCACATCAAATATCTTGATGTTTCTTAATTTAATTGTCGAAACAGATTATGGCCGGACAAATTTTGCTGATTTATTGCGCAAAAACTTGACTTTGTGCAACAAAAACTCGGTTGAATACATTGAGTACATTATTCGTTCACACAGTTTTTAGGAAACCGGAAACATTCCCTTCCCTTGCGCAGAATCATTAGAATTTTGAAAACTTCCCTGAGCTGAAAACTTTAGAATGAGATATCCTTAATCCTGATCGCTGAGTATCCAATGTACACACTTTTGATTTCATTCTTAATCCTTTTTTTTGGATATCCCTACTGTATAATAGTTACGTTTAATAACAATTACAGATACAATACTATATCGATTAAACTAATATCCGATTGAATTAAAGTCAGCTGTTCATAAGCCGGCCTTTAGAGCATTTAGGAAAATATAAATTTAATCATGTTAATATATTTTATGACATTTTAGGGCTATCATCATTTTAAACGAGTCTTAACAAACATTAATCCAAAACTTACATTTATTTAATCGATGTTTAGTTCAATTGATATGACACAATTAAGACCAGAAAAAAACCGATTTTTTCAAAAGTTAAGAGTACATCTTAACATGGTACGCTGATTGGTTGAATTTTATACTTCTTTCTTGGATATCGAATGCATATTAAAATAATCCCGGGTTTAGTAAACCAGGTGTTTAAGCATTAATCTTGATATCCAATCAATCATTCCAAAGTTTTCAGCTCTGTATTTATAATCTAACAATTTGAAACTTAGAGTTAAGTTGACAACAATATAGGTTAATCTGAGGGTATGTGGGGGGATTAACATTTCTTTTTATTATTACATAAATATTACCCAAGTCCGGATTGAGGTCTTCCCGTAGAGTCTAGAATACGGATTGGCCATGATGCGTCCCCGTAGAGTAGAGCTGAGTAAATAAAATCCAAGGAATCCTGGCATTCGGTACTTTAACCAACAACCAATAAAATCATATGTTGTAACGAAAATACCAAAAGTATGCAAAAAACTGCATAAATTACAGAACATTTTATTGTTTTTATTGGTGCCTGATATTAGCAGAAACCGCAGGCTCTGTTATAAGATTGAAACTAATTAAACAAAACAGGCTAAATATCATTTTACCCCTACAATAGGAGGAAACAGGAGCATTTGTTAATTTTGAGAGATCTAAGGGACAAATTATAAATTATATCAAATCACTGCTTAATAAGTATCCCCTAATATTTTATAAATATTAGTCTGATAACCCAGCGTAACTCATAGTTACTCACACCGTTTACCCGCGCTTGGTCGTAAATTGCGATTATAGCGATTTTTCCCTATATAGAAGTGGACACACTCAACTAAGAATCTAAAAACTAAGCCAAGAACATGCCCGAGTTCCCCAATCAACATTTGAGGCAAATCGATAAAGGGAGTCGTATGTTATAATCGTACATCCAAACAAACAAACAAACCGAGGTTTTAACTATATATATATATACATATATTTTCACTGTAGGACATTTAAAAAACGAAAAATTTCAGGAAGAAAAATGGAATTGACAGATATTTTATTAGTTAACTAGTTAAAATGAAAATTAATGAAATAACTACATGTGTAGTGTGTAGTGAATGTAAGCAACCACAGAAAGAATTGCTTTTAATAGATTTGTACATTTTATTTTTTACATTCTGCTGAATGGTCCTGTATAAAAGCAACAACAAAAAATAAGAATTATTGAACTAAATCTGCAATGGTTATTTTATTGAATACTTAATTTGTATTATTCTAATTCTAATTTATAGAATAGAAATACTAGCCCTTCCTATAGACATTGTTTACATTATTTCGCTTTACAGAAAAAATGAAAAGATGTGTAAGTCAATTTACCACAAAAGAATTATTTCTTTGCAACCTGATGGATCAAAGATTTGATTTGACCAACTCATAGTTTAAAATATCTAAAGTATACGCAATTGGGTTGCAAAGATATAGTGATAAGAAAAATTGAGTTTGTGACGAAAACTTAATTTCTTTGATTTATATTCTTCCGCGAACAATGCAGTTGCTGTGTATGATGCATTAGGTTGCAATAAGCATCGGATGAAACAGTGTAGCCACTGGGTGGCATCAATCTATTCATTTCAGAGACTCAGGCCCTTCGTCAAACTTATAGCGTTTGGAAATAAATATAAGGAACAGAATTTATGAAAACCACAGTCACTAATTTTAACAATATCCAAAAATCATGGAGTTCCAAAAATGTGGTTAATGTTGACAACACCTTCAAAATACGTTTCCAGAATTGTCCAGATCTATTTTTTGCAAGTATTGGTTGAAGGTTTCAAAACTCTCCTAGGATAGGTTGATTCCAAGGTGCGTTAAACTTATTAATCAACTCCGATATCTGGATAAAATCCATCTTATCCATCTTTTCCAGTTGGTAAACATCCCTGTAGCAGTGAATTATTAAAATCAGATCAAATCAGATCAAATCAGATCAAATCAGATTAAATCAGACCAAATCAGATCAAATCAGATCAAATGAGTTCAAATCAGATCAAATCACATCAAATGAGATCAAATGAGATCAAATCAGATCAAAGCAGATCAAATCAGATCAAATCAATCCAAATCATATCAAACCAAATCATCAAATCAAATGTAATCACGCCAAAACAAAACGAAAAAATTCTCAACAAATTATCTGTTCGTCATTAATAATTAGTATATAATATAATGTCATATTATAAATAATAAGAATAAGAAACTATTTACGGACAGATAAAAAAAAAAGAATTTTTTGTTTAAAATCTTTAAAAAAGAAAACCTGAAAATCTGCCTGTTCTCCTGAAGTGGATAAGTGTACTCTGCTTGTACAGTACTCAACACCAGGGTTAGTCCTGTACAAGTATAAAGTACTCAACACCAGGGTTTGTACTAGTCCTGTACAAGTATAAAGTACTCAACACCAGGGTTTGTACTAGTCCTGTACAAGTATAAAGTACTCAACACCAGGGTTTGTACTAGTCCTGTACAAGTATAAAGTACTCAACACCAGGGTTTGTACTAGTCCTGTACAAGTATAAAGGATAAAATTGAATTATAATTCGGTGATGATGATGCTCTGAACCTCAGAGTAAATAAAACATATGTTAGTTCCACACTTTTTGAAAACATATTTCGGTCTGGCTCAGATAATAACCTGTTAAAAAGATATGATTTTTCACTTGTTCGCTTTATTTGCGAGTTTAGTGAGGAATTGCGCAAAAGCAATGCTTTCACTTCATAAAGTTTGACATTTTTTAGGATTACCCAAAAATTGTGAGATCTTAAAAAACGATTCTATGAAAGTGTCCTAGTCATTTTTCTTTCCATCATGGTTCCTGAAGCTTTTCTGGGTTCTAACGCTGCAACATTAGTGAGGCAAGAGATCAAGTCCAATATATGATCTGTCAAATTGCAGTCTTTTTGGATAACCCTACTTTTGATCCCTTTTTTTCAACCATTCAAATACAAAAATGTATGTTATAAAGTTTGCTTTTTCAAACTATGGAAAAACTATGACCAAAGATATTAAACGATTTTTCAAATTTTTCGTTAACGACAATTGGGTTGACTTTTGTCAAATAACATATTTTGAAAAATACAAAAAAATTGAAACTCATATAAATTTTGAAAAATGAAAAGAACTTCAAAATTTTTATAAGCCAAATTTTGTTATTATAATTTTAAAAGTCAGTCAAATATAAGATATCCATATTCCGACAGTTGTTATTATTGTAGTGTTGTTACAGTTAAAAGAAAAGTTGCACATTATCAAAATCTACATATTATGAAGTCATACAAATATTGTGCTAACAATATTGGAATTGAATAATTTTAAATACTTTTCTGTTAGTCACCTAAAAGTTTCAACATTGTTGCATTTTTGGCAGAAAAATAAAAACAACTGATTTGTAATACTCCCACATAGAAAGCTATCTAAACCACAACTATTCGTGAAAACTAATTAAACAAGAAAATGAAATTAACACAACAATGTTATCATTATTTAGACCAGTATTGATATTGAGAGATGAGACAGGGACGTAAAAAAGAATTTATTCAAAGAAAGGGGAGGAGGGTTAAACTCGGTTTACATAAATAGTTAATACATGGAGGTGGTTTAACTTTTAAAGGAAAATATAAATTGTAATGGGGGGGGGGGGGGGGTCACATTCCCTAGCCCCCTCGAGAGAAAAAGAGAAATAGGAGCACATATTAGCGTGAAGTCGGAACTTGTGTTAAAATCAGGAACAAGCATTAGTCTCCATATTATCTTATCAGAGCCGAGCTGGGAACTTTAGAATGGTGGATATCGAGATTAATTCTTGATCCTCTCTTTTTCTTGATCTCCAGATTAAATAATGCTTGTTCTCCTCTTGTTATTAATCTCCAGATTAATTAATCGATCGGGATTAAGGATATTTCATTCAAAAGTGTTCAGCTCTGGTTCTCTTTCAGATCAATTATTATTATTACTGCAAATCTACGAATTAATTCAATCCCTCTTCAATATCCAAGAATGGTAATGCAATGCAGAAATATCTTAAATTTAAGGATCAGGGATTGATCCTTAAACTTAAAATGTGCCCACAATGGATATCAAGCTCAAGCGTTCAAGATTTAGAATACCGCACTTAAAAATTCCAACCTCTGGATGCTCAGATATAGGGATTAGAAAATTTAAGTTTGTGAAAAAGACTCAATTCCTTTAAAGTCAATGGTTAAACTCATGGCTTGCGGGAAACGTTTAAAATCGAATAGACAAAGAAGAAATATATTTTTCATGAAACCTTCATTTTTAAGCAACTATTCCTGTCAAGGTCAGAAAATAATTACACCTAGCAACAATTTTTTACACTTTTTTAGAATTGGGGGGGGGGAGGTCCAATGTGGGTTGAATTAAATTAATACTGAACCAGGAACCCAGAGGATCCCTCATCAAACAATGTGTATTGTTTTCGGTATAATCATTAAAAGGATTATGTGCGGGACTTAATATTCTGACTTATTTATTAATTAATAACTTTTGAACTTCACGTTTTTAACTTTATAAGATTATGTGTCGGAAGTAATCATAACTCCATTTTGAAGGATTTAGTTTAACCAAGAAATTTAGAGATAACGAGAGAATTAAAAAAATTTCGTTTTCTAAACCTACGGATAATGGAATCCTGCATATATTTAATTTTTTAATTGAATAATAATATAGAGCTCTTTGAAACTGTCAGTGTTCCGCTATATTTCAGGCTATTTATTTATTTTTACAATTGTTGCTGAGATTTAAGCATAATAGTGTAAAACCCAATAAAAAAAGGAAAAATAGTATAAAACCCAATGCAAAATAGGTAAAATAGTATAAAACCCAATGAAAAATAGGTAAAATAGTACAAAACTCAATGAAGAATAGGTACAATAGTATAAAACTCAATGAAAAATAAGCATAATAGTATAAAACCCAATGAAAAATAGGTAAAATAGTAAATAATCCAATGAAATATAGGTAAAATAGTACAAGACTCAATGAAAAATAGGTATAATAATATAAAACCTAATGAAAAATATGTATAATAGTATAAAACCCAATGAAAAATAGGTATAATAGTATAAAACCCAATGAAAAATAGGTATACTAGTATATAACCCAATGAAAAATAGGTATAATAGTATATAACCCAATGAAAAATAGGTATAATAGTATAAAACCCAATGAAAAAAAGGTATAATAGTTTAAAACCCAATGAAAAGTAGGTATAATTATTCAAAATTTAAACTGTGTCCGACTCCCGTCAGTATAATTAATACCTTTAAAATGAGTAACAATGAGCAAGAAATTATCTTGAAAACAATTAAATACTTAAATAATGTCATTCCTTAAAATTTGAAAAACACAAAGGTCCGGGTGCCGTTGTGAATCGGGCATTTAACACTTTACTTTATTCATGGATGGCAACTGAAAATATGTACACCGTTGTTTTAAAAAGAGCTAAAATTAGTATTCCCAACTTTTTTTCTTCTTTTTTTGGGGGACTTTTTCGAGTGAGTTGAAGCATTTGATGCACAATTGATAACTGTCTGTTTTAAAAAATATTAAACATGGTTATATAAATGTAGATATATTGCACTCGTTTGCTAATTCAACCATTGTTTAATATTTGCAAGGTATATGGTTTAACTGTAAATAATAACCACATAAACTATTAACTTGTAAGATATATATTTGCGAAGATTATTATACAAGAACGTCATACAGGACAAAAAATTCCCACGGAGATGTTTTGTTCCCTAGTGTGATGTATGGTTTAGACGCAAGAAATGCGTACGCGCATTAAAACGTAATATTTTCAGTGTTTGAGGAAGTACGACAATATTCACAGCTAAGAAAAGTGTGTGATTCAAAAGTGATAAGGCATGAAAATGCTTAAACTAGAAAACTAAAAAATGTTCCAATATTCAATCCTTCTACTTCTTCTTAGGAACACGTCACTTTTTACATAACAGAGAAAACCAATTTGTTAAAAACCTAATTTAGATTTTGTATTGAGAAAAACTGAATTTCAGGACAGTAAGACTTCAGAATTATAATAAAAAAGCTGTTTTATTCAATTTTTTTCCCGTGTCCCCCCTTCTGGCTCTAGGATAAGAGAGTGAAAGGCCTTCTTTGCTAAGAAATCACCCAAAATGTGGTCTTCGCAAGGGTTTAATGCAAGGAAAGTTAATTGCAGTCGTGTATACTCTGCGTACATATTGAAACCAGTTCTCTTTGGGCGGAATTTGCAAACAAGAATAGATGCATCAGTGTTCGTTTAGTATCCGAGGAGGTTNAAAAATAAATATTTCCTGGGCCACCCTGTATAAATATAAAAATAAATATTTCCTGGGCCACCCTGTATAAATATAAAAATAAATATTTCCTGGGCCACCCTGTATAAATATAAAAATAAATATTTCCTGGGCCACCCTGTATAAATATAAAAAACAATCGCTGTTATCTATGGTCAACCTAATTTTATCAATATGATTTTTAATCGTTAATCACTAAATAATACCACTTTTTCTAGCATTTCCAATATGTGGCCAGCCTATTTTATGCTTTTAAAATTAAAAAAGGTTTATAGAATTTTATTCAGATGTTAATTTAGTGGTTTAATCTAAAATTGCCTTTAACATCAATTTATTGTCATTAAGTTATGAAGATGGAAGAAGGTAGATCATATCTTTAATGTGAAGATATTTTCGTTTTCTTAAGTACGAGTGTTTTTCTGATAATTCTATAGTTTTTTTTTGCTGTAAAAAATGTAGATAAACCACAATTGAAAACTATCCGTTTTCGAAAATATAAGCATTGATATCTTATTCATCCATGATCAGACAAAGCTTTATAGGTGCCATCGGCCATCTTGAAGTTACGCTTACAGTTCATTTAAGTAAAGTTAAAAGACGTGCAACCTTTTAATCAATCTTTTAGACGTCTATAAAGAATATCAAATATTTTTCACTGATAATTTCAACAGATTTCATATTTAAATTGCATGAAAAAAACTAATAACTGATTAAGAAACGAAATTAGTTTTTGTTTATGAAATTAAAATATTAGAAACAAAGTGAGTAAACAAATTGGAGTTTGCCAAAAATTCTCATCTTTTTCTTTTACTAAATTTTAATCTATTTCTTTATTTGATTCCCTGAATACAAATCCTTGCAAAAAAAAAGTGACCAGGGTTCTTCTGTGCATGGAACAGTGTTCCAGATCTAACAAGATCGGAGTCTAGTCCTGATTCGTCTCCTGAGCCAAACCCGAAACCAGAACCAAGCTCAGAGCCCGACCTAGAACACAGATCTCTAGATAGATTTAGTCTGGCTTTCAGGTACAGGGTGTCCCAATAGACATGGGAATTAAGAGACGAATTCGAAATCGTCTTTGTAAAGAAGTAGTGTTGTGCAGCTACCTAATTGCAATGGTCAAAATAAAGTGAAGTTTGTTAGAATAAATCTTATGTAAACGGTAAAAGGCTGGTTCGTTATTTTGCAAACCATTGTATAATGTTATGTAACATACCTGCAAGATTAACAGTGAAAAAAAACAACTGTATTGTATTTGTATACACGAATTTCTGATATTTTTAAGTACGACACAGTATGCGATAAAAACATAAACAAACAAATTCTGAACTCTACCAGATGGACTATATCTTTACTAGTAGGCATCGGCATTCAGCATACTATATGCAAAATTATTTACAAAGACGATATCAGAATAGTCACTGAATTCCAATGTTAATAGGGACACCCTGTAATTTGTATGAACGAAGGAAAATGGATCTTTAAACATTCTTGATTTTTTTAAACATATGAAGACTCTCACCTTTGTTTCCTTGTTTCCCAGACGCTCCTTATTTTGGAAAAAGATTTTCAAAATAAATTTCGAAAAATTTAAGATACAATATAGTCAATTTCATTTACCACAATATGTTTGTCATAAATAACACTTGCCGTAAAAGGTTACACAAGGGATAATTATTGTCTTTTACAAATATTTTACTAAGACAAAAAGAGGCCAAATGATAAATCCACTCGAAAAAAAATGAAAAAATAAATACAATTACAACCATTGTGGTAATTTAATGTTGGTGTAATGTTGTAATTGAAAGCAAATATTACTTTGTCCTGGGTTGTTATTAAATAAGCCATACAATTAGATTCAAAATTATTTATTCAAAACAGAAAGTGAAATTATATCCTCTGGTATTTTGGCGAATGAAACTGGAGTTTCAAATTGGAATTCCGTTACGCGCAATTGCGCAAAACTGTTCTAGAATTGCGCGGAATTGCGTGGAGCTTACAGGGCTCAAGTAAAATCCAATTGAATTGAAAACCCTAAATGAAACTGAGCCATAAAAATGCCTCTTCAACATGCAGTCAGATTTAAACTTTAAAAATTTTAATAATAATTAGTTTTAAAAATTGTCTCATAAAGGGTTCTGCAAATTCTTTAAATAACTTAACCAGTTTTTGCAGAAACGTTTAAACTAAAAAAAAACAAAAAAACATTCATGATTTTTAACTTATTCATTTATCAGAAGGTTATGTTGTCTTTCCTGTGAGTATATACTATATATATTTATATATATATGTTATAAGAAGATTGTTGTGTTTCAACTGATGTATATATATATATATATATATATGTTATAAGAAGATTGTTGTGTTTCAACTGATGTATATATATATGTTGAATATACAAAAGTATCGTTTACAACTATTGATTTAGCGGTCTCAAAACATTCCAATAAATTTCAATCTTACTTATCAAGACGTAACTTTCAGAGACCCATCACTCAAAGATTTGCATGCCTGCATTTGTTTCATTATTGCTCAGATAAAAACGAGTATATTTGTTTCATTATTGCTCAGATAAAAACGAGTATATCTGTTTCATTATTGCTCAAATAAAAACGAGGATATTTGCTTTATTATTGCTCAGATAAAATCAGAGATAGTTGTTTCATTATTGCTCAGATAAAAACGAGTATATTTTCTTTATTATTGCTCAGATAAAAACGAGATTATTTTCTCAGATAAAAACGAGAATATTTGCTTCATTATTGCTCAGATAAAAACGAGAATATTTACTTCATTATTGCTCAGATAAAAACGAGGATATTTGCTTCATTATTGCTCAAATAAAAACGAGGATATTTGCTTCACTATTGCTCAGATAAAAACGAGTATATTTACTTCATTATCGCTCAGATAAAAACGAGGAGTGAATCTGGCATGCAACTGATCAATTCAATGGTCACATCTAATACATAGAATCCAAACATCTATAAATACAAGCAAGTTCAATGTTCATAGTCCGCCTAATTCTGACGACCTCTGTATTTTTTTCTTTTCTAGATCTCATCCTCGGAATAGAGTTCAGGAACCAAGTAAACCAAAGAGACAATCCGATGAAGACATTAGGTAATTATTTACAAACCATAATAGTTACTTCCAGTGTCTTATCAGCATCAATTATTCAGTCGCTTTTTTAAAGAAACCACAAACAAAAATAATCAGCTCGAAAAATAAGGATATCATATTCGTTCTTGATCAGACATAGGTGTTGGGGGTACCGTTGTGATTCATCTATTTAACTTTTTGAATGAGGGTCACTTTAGAATAGGGGAAAATGTGATTTGACTGAAAAATCCCGGATAATTTTATTTTCAAAACTATTGTTAATGGTGGATTAGGTTTTTCTATCAAGGTTTATATCATGAGTTAAATTTAAAATTTAAAAAAATCAAGATTACTAAGACGATTGTGTTTTCAATAAAACTAACTTATCATAGTGTTTCGTTTTTCAAAATTTTTAAAAATCTTATCAGCTTGATATTTTTAAGCATTCGTTTTTTTCTCCACTGAGTTTACTTGGAAAGAGTTCACCAAAATACATGTTTAAATAGTAATTGTATAGAATAGAACTAGAAAGTAAAGAACTTAATTAAACTTCTTTAACTAGAGCTTAATAATGCAGAGACAAAAATTTATAGAAAAACAATTTTAACTTTTAATAGAAAAACATTTCATTTCATTTTTTATTTAAAAGAAACTATTTTGAAATTTTTTTTTTTAATTTGCAGTGAACACATGTTCTTTATAAGGCCCCCCCCCCCTTGGATTTCCAGTGAACAAAAAATTTCACGAAAATTATAGATGCAACAATTAATTATGAGCTCAGCATTAGAAGTTTTAATTTATCAAATTAAAAATTTCTCTTTCGTATTTTCTTCTCCAAAATTTTCGCATTTCTTATTTCGCAAAAATCTTGCATTCTTTGGTGAAACAGAGTAAAGCGAAATTTTTCATATTTTTCGTGAGCATGCAATGCAAAATTGTCGGCGAATTTTTTTTTCTCACGAAGAATGGAAGATTTTCAAGAAACGATTTACCCTTTTCGCTGGAACCGCTANACTCAAATTATGACTTTAAATAGTAAAATGAACATAAAACATAGCAATTTAGCGGTGTTAACAGGCTTTAAGGTTGTCATCCTATTCCATAGTTGTATGGCTCTTACTGTAGGAAAAGCAATTTTAAACAATAACATGGAAAGCTTGGGCAATATATTATGGTTCAAGTCTAAAGTTTATAAATATGAATTATTGTTAACAAAAATTATGTTAAAGGGCGTTCGCCATTGCTGGAGATCTTCAACGAAGCCAGAACAGTGGGATTGAGAAACAATTTATTCGATCCCAATCTGATCTAACTCCAGATAACCAAGAACAGAAGATAGAAAAGCGCATTTTTGGGTAACACTTGTTTATTCTTGATTTTCTTTTGCTTTTCTTTCTTGGTTTCTTTTCTATATCTTTATTAATCTTCTTTTTTATCTGCCTTGATTTTCTTATCTTAATCTTTCATTATAATAGAGATCCAATGGAAGTGGGAAGGAATATTAGAACCAACCTAATGAACGCTGTTAAAAATCTTTTGGGAAACAGGGATGAAAATGATTTTGAAGGACTTACAGAGGAGGAAAAACAGATTATCAGAGATCTTAGGGAAGAAGAAAACAAGCCAGTCAGGTCAGAAAAATTCACATTAAACGAAAAGTAAAAAATAAAATTTAAATAACTTTAGATCTAGAGTTAACTTTAATACCAATCTTTTTACCAGGTTCAATAATGAAGATGCAATTGATGAAGATGAAGTTGAAATCTTCAGACCTTCTATAGAGCGACCACGAGGTTCACCTCCTCGAAGACCATCAGCAACAAGAACTTCCAGGCCTCAATCAACAAGGTGGGAACACACTTATTTAAAATCAACCATACCCCTTGCTTAAGGTCAAACCCCAATTTTGCTGATATGCTTACTGAATCCCCAAGTTTGATTTATTCTCACCCCCCCCCCCCCCTTCTTTTGCTTTAAGTACTCCAGCAGATAATGAAATGTTTACATTACAAAGGGCACCTAGAGCTAGGGACTTGGACCAAGAAGATCTTGGAGAAGAAATAGAACAAGAAAGAGTGAGACAGGAAGAAAACAACCGTGAAGTTGATCTTGCAGTTGAATTAGATGGGATCCGGGACCTCCAGAATACAGAATCTCTAGAGAATTTAGCCCTTGCAAAACAAATAGATCTTTTTGGAAGTTCAGAGAGACAAACATTATCTGCTGACCAAGAACCTAGGCGTGGAAAACAGGATGGTAATAATTTTATTTGAAACAATTCATGCAAAAAAATTGGAATAATTATTCTTTTTTAACAGGGCTGCATACAGCAAACTTTGATTCCAAGCAAAATCTTAACAATATTTTTTATCTAAACTACACCCAATGCAACATGTCTTTCCTAATGGTAACATCACATTGATTTCATGTTATGCAGAGAAATTCAATTTTAAAAAAGGTTTTTAGAAACTTTTTTTCTTGATACATTTTCTGATATTTATGAAACTTAACACCTGGCAAAAGATAGAAATGTTTATCAATCTGTGTGCACTAACATAATAAGATTATTTCTTTCTTAAAGATTTTAAGATAATATTTCTTAGAATCCAAAGTCAATAAATCTTTTTAATAAAACCACATTAACCATCAATTTATCAAAAAGGTTGAGTTTAGAATAGGCCAAAACGTAGTAAACTTTAATTAGCAACAATTATCACACTGAGCTAGCCTTGTGGCTCCTAAATAAGTATACTTGTTGCTCCTAAATAAGTATACTCCTGGACCCTTAAAAAGGGTATTATTATGATTCTGAAAACATTTCACCAACAATTTCCAGGTCTAGAACGTTGTGATACAACTGGGTTTGAGAGAAGAGTACGAATGGACTGTCAAACAGTTTATGATACAGTATGTGACACAATAGATGAAGTAAAATACAGGTTTTTGAATCAAATTTCTTAATTATCTTTATTATAAGACTTAAAACTTTTACTTCTTTTTTATTTCCAAATTATGACGCCCTATTTAATTTTTTTCAAAAATAAATGACTAAAAAAATGTTTCAAATGTGATTTCTTTGTTTTAGATCAGAAATTGTTCCACAGTGTAAAACTAGAGTTGTTCAAGAATGTGATTCAACAGTGAAAGATGTTCCAAAAGAGCAATGTGTGCAGTCATTTGAACAGAAATGTGAAGAAGAATATGATATAATTGAGAGATATGAGTACAAAGAAGAATGTAGTGAAAAAATAGAGGAGGTGTGTAAAGAAGAAATCAAGATACCAGTTCCTGTAAAAGTTCCATATCCTGTTCCAACTCCAGTTCCAGAATATCATAAGGTTGAGGTAAATAATCTATTTCAATAAAAGTAAATTTTTCTTTTTTGTTTGGTTTTACTTTTCTTTTTAGGTAAAGATACCTACTTCAACATATCAACCCCCAACACCTTCCTCATCCTACAACCCATCAACTAAGCCTTCATATCACCCGACAACTTCACCAACTCATCATACTCAAACACCAGGATATCCCCCAACTACACCAATCTACCACCCACAAACGACACCTCCTTATCATCCCCAAACTACACCTGCCTATCATCCCCATACTACTACTTCATACCATCCTCAAACTACACCTGCATACCAACCCCCAACTACTCCTACATACCACCCTCCAACTACTCCTGTATACCACCCTCCAACTACTCCTGCATACCACCCTCCAACTACTCCTACCTACCATCCAACAACAATATCTCAGGAATATCATTCACCCGAAAATGTAATACCACTTGGGCATCCTCCCCCACTCAGTGATTACAAACCAACTACTCCTATTCCTCCTGTTCATGGACATTCATACCATCACATAAATGGTCAAAAGCATGAGTATGATCCAAGGATTCCAAAATATCATCCAACTCCCAAATATGAGAACCCAAAAAGTCATGATCACCCTTCAATGCTTCATACTACTGAACTACAATCTCATGCCCTAGATCATGCCGATGAATTTTTAGATCCAGTTAAAGCATCACTTGTGGAAAGATTTAATAATCAAATCTTAAAAAGAAATACACGAGATGCAGATTCCCTTGCTGACCCAGATCCACAGTTAGACCCTTTGACCTTATCAGCACTGTCTGTGAAACGATCCTTAGAATCACTGTCATTAGAAGAATTATTAATTCTTTTAGAACAATTAGGTCCTAATGAAACAGACCACCTTCTAAAACAAAATACAGATGACATAAACTCACAGCTTTCTCAATTTCAGACAGAATCAGATAAAACTTTGAGATCAGGCTTGACACTAACCAACTCTGAACTTCTTGAAAGGCTAACTTCAGGAGCAGCTGTTTCTAATCCCACTGAACAACTAAGAGCTACATTTCCTCAGACTACTTCCAATCCTTTGCAAATAAATGCCAAAATACCAACAAACCCTCCAGCACTCAAATTTATGCCAACTGAAAAACATAATGAATTTAGTGATATTTCCAAATCTATATCTTCAGCATCGAACCTATTTGATAGAACAGCTTTAGGGGGGAACATTGTACCATCCTTAAGGTCACTTCAACAAAATTTTGATCTGCAGGATACCAGGACTTTTCCTTCCAACAATATAGATTCTAGTTTATCAGTTTCTCAACTTCAAACCATGTTAAGGATCCTTAGACAAGATGAGAAAGGTCCAATATCTGATCCTATATTTTCAGATGAATCTTTCAATTTGAAAGCACTAAACATCAAAAGACAGCTTGGACAAAGCATTGAAAGAGAACCAGTAAACTTTGTTGGTGGGTCTCTTTTAGATGATCCTATTGTTATTAACTCTTTGAATAACAAGCCAAATTTAACCAATCAATTGACATCTAATGAGAATTCACAACCTGATGTAAATATTAAAATCAGGCAAAGTGATGCTGTGGCTGAAGTGCTAAGAAGAATAGAATTATTGGAGAAAGAATCAGGCGGGGCATTGAACAAAGTTTTGAATCCTATTTCTACAAATCCTACAAGTGTTCCTTTTGGTGGAACACTCCATGTATCCTTTCCGAATGAAAACCACAACTCTTTACTTCCAAGTCATGAAGAAAGACCTTCCCAATTTCATCAGGCACTACACCTTACACCAGCTCCTCCTCCAGCCTTTATTCCTCCACTACACAACCCTCATCAGCCATTGCCTGATCCTTTAAATCTCAACAGTCATGTACCTGGACCAGACCCTTATTCAGTACCAATCAAAGGACCTCACCATGATGTTAATCATCATGATTTAGATCTCCATCATGAAGTTGAACACAAACCTAATTATAAGCCTGGTAAAGAACTTCCAGCAACTCATAAACATGATCATCATGAGAAACTTATTCTACATCCTCCACATCCAGATAAAATTCCTCCACCAACTATTTTAAAGGTAAAGACTACCAAATTCCAAATAACTTTACACATAATTTTAATATTATTCCAGACTGAGTTACCCGCTCCTTATGGATGCAAGGCATTTTCAACAAAGACATGCACTAAGGTAAGAAATATGCTGTATGAAACATTGTATGCATTTCACTTTCTTAGTTCATTAATTTTTGGAATCAACCTGAATTCACACCAATTTATCTTTTAAGGTGCCCAGGAAATCAATTTCATACTTTTTTTTTAAAGATTCCAATTGTTGTAGCAGAAAAAATACCTGTTCCAAAGTGTTATGATGTTCCTCGTGTTGATTGCTTCCATGTACTGAAACCTGTTCCTGATCTTCACTGCCATCCAAAGTAAGTACACAAATTCATTAACCCTCTATCAATGAAGTGTTTTACATACTAAGATTTTAATTTACTTAAATCCTAACTTAGGCTTTGCTTAAATCTGAAAGTATAACATTAAATCATGATACTCCTATAAAGAAAACTGGAGTTAGTTCAGTTTGATTAAGGCCAAATAATGTGGGATTTTGAGGGGACTTCAGCTGTAATTTTGAGTGATCATCCATTTTAAGATAACCATGCTGGATTTACACAAGTACCCTTCAGCCCCTTATCTGATCAATAATGTTTAAGATATTTTTATTCTTCTCACCTACCCAGTGTTTAATTTCTACACAGATTTTAGAACCAGTAATTTGTAATTAATTTTTAAAGCGAAACCACAGTTGAAACTATCTATTTTTAAGAGATAAACAATCATGTTACTCTTTATTTAATGAAGAGTCTATTGGTAATTACAACTACAGTCCCTTTAATTAAACATACATTTCAGAGCAGTCGAGGACTGTATAGAAATAGTAAAACAGGTTCCATACCTGGCTCCATATGAAAAGTGTAGAGAGGAACCTCGGGAGGAGTGTGTTGATGTTGATGAGGAAGTTCCTATAATTGTCTGTACAAGCATAGATCCTAGGTTTGAAAATATTTAAAATATTGTACCAAAACATTAATCTAGCACTTTTAATATTTTTTTTTAAACCCAATGCTTAGGATCTGGATACGGATCCGCAAAAATATGAGCAACCATGGATCCGCATCCAAAAGCAAAACATCTATAAAAATCTTTAAAAAAAACTTTTTTACTCTCCAAACCCAAATCTGGACTGTTGAGAAAAGAGATCCTAAAAAGTTCCTTCTTTCTAATTAGTCCACAAAGTTTGAGCATTAAATAAGCGAACAAAAGAAGAAAAATAATTTGATAAAGTGCTTTGTTTAAAAGGTTCATTAAATCTTAAAGAAATAATCATGACCTAGATCCAGATCCGGATTTGGATCCAGTGCAGATCCAGTATTTGGATCCGGATCGGCATCAAATTTCAATTGATCCTAAAACCATGCATTTAAGATTGATGATTTTTTACAACATTGCAGTGTTAAAAACTGAAATTTGACACACTTGTTTGTGTTAGTCTTAAAAAAATGTGCAAATGGCTTGAATTGCTGAAGATAAAATCATAACAAAAAAAAGCCTAATAATAGTTCAATCAACTAACTTCCCTACATTGTTGTGAAATATATGCTTGATGGGTAACATATGTGGAAAACAGGTGTCGAAAAGAAATTTTTTTAAAAGAGGGTAATTGAAAACTGCACACTATAGATTAGGTGCATACTGCATAGTGATTAAAACAATGGTTCATTCACTTTGACTCAAACAATAGTGAACAAATAACAGTTAACTAAATATCTGGGATTTTAAATAATTTAAATTTAACCAACATAATTGTTTCAGACGCGAGGCAAAGCTGAACCAGATCAGTAGTCCATATTCAGGATGATTGATTAGATGTATTATTACCACGGGCATTTTAAAATTGTACATTTACAATATAGCTCAAGATATATTATCTAAGGCCGAATTTAAAGAATTTGAACAGTCTAGACGCGGTACAACGAGACATAAATCAAACATTTCTGGTTCAACCTGAATTTTTTATCCGTGTTTCGAGATTTGAGCTCGTGTGCAATTTGAATCCGTAATTGGCAGTACACGCGGTTCAAATTCATTAAATTCGGCCTCTGAATGTACAGTGTGTTCCACTAAACATAACAATTTTAAAGACAACCAAGTAGAGTAATCAATATGCTTCAGTACTACACTTATAATCAACGCTGTTTATAATTCCTGTATAAAAATCAAAATCAAAATCAAAATTGTTCATCCTTAAATTATTTTATTTCATGGGACACACTGAAATTGTATAATACATGATTCTGTGCATGTATTCAAATAATGAAAGACTTCTGTTTTGTTGGTTACTTCTATATTTAAAATAAATTATTTAATTAACTCTTCCAAATATTCTTAGAAAGTTGTCCCTCATCACTACTTCTTACACTCTGATTTTTAAAATATTAAAAGCTTTCGATAGTTTAACGTTTAAGTTTAACGTCAGTTATTTCTCAGAAGTTGTCCGACCAGCTCATAGGACTTTTAGAACAAGCAGTATCATACCTAGCTCTTAATTGCATCGCCTTCTTCTGATTTAAAGCTAAATTATAATATAAATCTTCCCATTTCAGTGATATCATGATATTGTTTGTCTGAAAATAGAATTAAAACATCTTAATTTATGATTTTATTTAATTTACAAACGAAAACAAATTATTCAAAAACCAAAAAAAAAAATGTTGTAGCCACTGCCAAGTTGAAATAACATTATCATAAAAAAATAAACATAATTTGCCGATAAAAACACAAAACATTTGTGATTGATTGACAAGAATCAAAAGTAAAAAAAATATTTTTTTGTTCAAATTTTTAATAGAAAGAAAAAAATCACAACAAAATAAACCGATCAATTCCTACCCTATTATAAATACAATTGAACTGCAGCCAGTAATAATAAATAGTAACTGTAAGTAAATAGTGTACAACTTAATATACATGTACATTGTACAATGTACAATATATTGTACAAACTTAATCCAGAATCTTCTTACGCTCTTGGAGACTGATAGAACTGGTTGAACTGTTGTACAACTTTCTCCATACTGTACAATTATACAATTACAAAACATGTACTCCAGAGTACCCAGTAAATGTTCTAAAGGGACTGTCAGCGTAATTTAAAATAACCCTTCAATTGAAATGCCCGATTTATACCAGCACCTTAAACCCTTCGACTGAACAAAATTAATGTGAGATATTCTTGAGCATTTTCAATCGTAGTTTGGTCTCTGTAGCAGAGGCAAGTAAGGAAATTTACGGGATTTATTCCATTTTACAAGAAAAACGTGATGACATATTACCAAATATAACTTATATAAAGGTTAGCCATAGATAGTTTAACTAATTTTTAAATATCATTAATTCCATTCTGTGATATGTTGGACAAATGTCCGATTTTTTAGAATCCGATTTTTTCGGATCCGATTTATTCGAGTATGATTGTAATTTTAAATGAACCTATATTTAAAGAGGGACATCCGGATTCACACTGATACCCTTGAAACCTTTATCCAGTCTAACAATATGAAAGAATGTGTCAGTCAACTAAAAACATTAAAATTCTTACCCATGAGTTTCCAAAGCGAAAAATATGCGAGTCTCTTCTGTATTAAAACCACAATGAAATTAATCAGTTGTCAAAATCAAAAACATGAATATCTAATTTATACTTGATCAGACAAAGCTTTTTACGGGTACCCTTGTGAATCAGGCGGGTCACTTAAAATTACACTTTAAGTCTATTTAACTAGATAAGATAACTGTATTTTCCTGAGCATTTCTTTTATAAACCCTTCAGGAATCTGATTAGCGCTGTCCACATCATACACTGAGTTGAAATATCGACTCTCCCTGAAATATAAAAAAATTATTTTGAAAAATAAAAAATGACTCGAAAATTAAAAGGATATGATTGGGATGAGACAAACCAAATATATAAGGAAATGATTGGTGCTGGTTTTAACCCTGAATCCAAAATGATATGAAACTTGGATATATCTGTTGGCATTTAACAAGTGTGTTGATCGTTTTCAAATCAACAATTTAAAAAAATATAGTTGAGATCTTCTGTGATCAATTCATTTACAGTGGTAGGCGATTATATCAATACAATTTAAAACGACTTACGATTTCAATTTTGATTTATCACAAACTTTTATACTTCTACCCCCCCCCCCCA